GCCAGATGCCACCACTGGCCCCACCAACATGTGGCAAGCAGGGGGTGGGCACACACCAGCCCCCTCCTCCTGCTTGGGTGGCTTGGTCCAGCTGAACGTGGTGGCCGGTGCTGTCACCCGTTTGCAGGGACACTCTCTCCTGCCTTGGGACAAACCATTTCTTGGAGCAGCTTTTGGTTCCTCTCCGGTCACCCTGACACAGCCACGGGGCTGAGGACAGCGAGGTCACTGGTGGCAGGAGAGCGAGGAGCCCTGGACACAGCTTGTCCCCTCGCCACGGGGCAAGAGGCACCGTCCCGGCACGGCCTCACCGGTCATCTGATTGCCCCCGTGTCCTGGGTATAAATCCATGAGCACGGACAGCCCCGTGCTCCAGCCTCACACGGTGTCACCATGGGATGGAGCTGCTCCTTCCTCATCTTCCTCCTCCTCCTCCTTCTTCTCCAGGAGCCCTGGACACAGCTTGTCCCCTCGCCACGGGGCAAGAGGCACCGTCCCGGCACGGCCTCACCGGTCATCTGATTGCCCCCGTGTCCTGGGTATAAATCCATGAGCACGGACAGCCCCGTGCTCCAGCCTCACACGGTGTCACCATGGGATGGAGCTGCTCCTTCCTCATCTTCCTCCTCCTCCTCCTTCTTCTCCAGCTCCTGGAGCCAGGAGCCACCTTCTCGCTGCTGCGGTATCGCTATGACTGCGGTGACTATGGCATGCAGCTGCTGGCCTTCCCCACCCACGGCCGCACCGTCCGCTTCAAGGTCATGGGTGAGTGATGGGCAAGGGGGTGTGAGACCCCCCACCCCCCCCTCCCTGGCTCTCCTTGGGGTGACAGGTGACAGATCACCTTGAGGTGACCCCAAAACTCAAGTGCTCTGAGGTGCTGGTGCTTTGATGGGATGAAGCCAATGGTTTGAATGAGGTTTTGGTGTTGGGTTGTGTTGCCAGGGAGGATTGTGGCACTTGGTTGTGTCACCTCCTCCCACCCCCTGTGTCCATGGTGTCCCCACAGATGAGTTTGGCACCCGCTTTGACGTGGCCAACTGCTCCATTGGCTCAACGCGGGAGAAGACGGCGCCGTCATCTTCTCCTCTGGCTATGATGGCTGCCACGTCCTGGTGAAGGTGAGGGTCCCATCCCACCCGTGGTGTCCCTGGGGGGGGGTGACCCTGGGGGTGACTGTCCCTCCCACCCCACTGCAGGAGGATCACTATGTCCTGAGGGTGCAGCTGGAGGAGATGCTGCTCAGTGGGGTCCTGGCTGCCTCCTATGAAGTCAACATGACCTGTCCACAGCCAGGGGACGATGAGATCCTCACGGGGGGCAACACGCGCAACGAGCACCGGGGCAACAGCGTCCACCAGACCCAAACTGACGTCCTTGTCCCCCTGTCCCAGCCTGGCCTCTTGCACCACGTGTCCCAGTCCACCTTCACGCTCCCAGGACCCCAGCTCACTCCCCAAGCCCACTCGGAGCAGGTTCACCCCGTGGCTCAGACCCAACCGGTCCTGGTGCACCCCAGGCTGCAGCCCCAACCAGCTGTGGTTCACCCCATCACCCAGCCCCAGCGGGGTTTATTGCGCCCAGGGCTTCAGAACCAAAACCAACCTGGGGTGGTCCACTCTGGAGCTCAAACTCAACCTGGGCGGCTTCATCCAGGGCTTCAGAACCAAAACCAGCCTGGGCTGGTCCACCCTGGAGCTCAAACCCAACCTGGGCGGCTTCATCCAGGGATTCAGAACCAAAACCAACTGGGGTTGGTCCACCCTGGACCTCAAACCCAACCTGGGAGGCTTCATCCAGGGGTTCAGAACCAAAACCAACTGGGGTTGGTCCATCCTGGGGCGCAAACCCAACCAGGGATTCTTCGTCCAGGACTTGTGCCTCAAAACCAGCCTGGCTTGGTGCACCCCGGAGGTCAAACCCAACAAGGGCTGCTTCATCCAGGGGTTCAGAACCAAAACCAACCTGGCTTGGTACATCCTGGAGGTCAAACCCAACAAGGGCTGCTTCATCCAGGGGTTCAGAACCAGAACCATCCTGGATTGGTGCACACTGGAGCTCAAAGTCAACAACGGCTCCTTCTCTCGGGGCTTCAGAACCAGAACCAGCCTGGACTGGTGCACCCTGGAGCTCAAACCCAACCAGGACGTCTTCGTCCAGGGGTTCAGACCCAAAACCAGCCTGGACTGGTGCACCCTGGTGTCCAGTCTGGCTCAACCCACGCTGGTGCTCACACTCAAGCAGGTTTGGTCCGCCCAGGAGCTTGGCCCCAACGCCAGCCAGGCTCAGCTCGCCCTGGTCTTCAGACCCAGTCCCAAACTGGTCTCCTCCACCCTGGGCTCCAGAGCCAAACTGGGCTGGTACAACCCAACCGTCCCCGACCAGGTCTAACACGCCCAGGACTCCAATCCCACCCAGGTTTGGTACGTCCTGGTCTCCAGGCTCAGCTCCAGCCGGGTCTGGTGCGCCCAGGTCTGCAGCCTCAAGCCCAACCTGGTTTGTTGCGTCCTGGATTTGAGTCCCAGCCTGGTCTCCTGCAGCCCACCGCCCTCTTCTACCCCACCCCGGGGGCAGGTAAGGCAGCGTGGGCGGGATGGAGGGCCACCACCAGGGCTGGCTCCTCCTTGTCCCTGGAGAAGCAGGTCAGAGCTGTGAGAAGATGCTCAGGGTG